CTTGTAGATTTTTCAGCGGTTTTTGAGCGCGCGCACATCGTGGGCGCAAATCGAACGTTCAAAAGTAGGCAGCCACCTTAAAAGATCACATAAAGTCGAACAAAAATCCCTACAAAAATCTATTTTTTCATGTGTTAGAAATATAAACTTTTTCTAAAATTTTGATATAACCTAGATTTTTAGGAGTTTTTTTGAATGAGCTATTAAAAAATAGAGAGTCCCGAGCAAAATTTGAGGGTTTTGCCCTGTTGAAGCTCAAAACGCGTATGGTTCTTCAATAAAATCTTGTAGATTATTCAATGGTTTTTGAGCGCGCGCACATCGTGGGCTCAAATCGAACATTCAAAAGTAGGCAGTCACCTTTATGTTTGACATTAATTCACATGTTCATTAATTTGAAAGAACAATACACGTCTTAAAATAGATTTTAAATCAAAAAAGCTTATCATGTATTTTCTAATCGAAAAAGCAATGAGCAACAAATAATATAGATGCTAAAGAAGTATACCTCCGGTTGACTCATCTTTATATAAACAGGTTTATTAAGAAACTCGTTTACGACGAACGTGACATGTCGATTGTCCAAGAAAAATATCTTCTAAGTCAGTAAAAAGGTATCGCGAAATTCTCCAAGTAGTACGTAAACCACAAAAGAATATTTGTCTTGGGTGAGAATGACGTTTCCAAAAAGTCTATTAAGTGAAATACAGAAAAAAGAAGAAAACGTGGTCACGTTTGCCGTTCTGCGTGGGGGAAAAAACGAGAATCTCTTAAGATTATGAATTGTATTTACATCGGCTGCCGTCACTTGCTCAAAATAGAAGCGAGAACGAATTAATATATGCAGTGTTCGTACGTGAGCTATGTCACTCACTAAAAATGCAGTTTTAGATTTGTTCTTTGATTTTTACCTCAGCCGTCAAAGAGAAAATCTGAGACTTTTATGTTTTTATGAAGCGGAGCTTGGATTCTATTAATTCGTACATGTCAATCGTTTGACGGGAAAATTCCCCCAACTCATGGCACACGCGTTCAATTAAGAACTAAAGAGAGCGTCTTAGTAATTTGGCAGTTATATGGCCGAGATATTGCAATCAGTGACAAAAATCATGTATTTTCCGACAGGAATCTTTGCTCTTTTCCACCTACACGAGTAAATACGATATTATGAAATAAATTAGCAAATTAGGCTTGAAAAACAAGTGTCTCTTGTGAAAGATTAATGTAGTATAAGTGATACTCTTTGACTTCTTAATAGCTCAGTTGATCGCCCACTTCAATCAAAGACGGTTATTTATTTAGTCAAACGTGTAGAATGTTGTAGTTGGCAGGCGTCCGTGCCTATAGTGGCCAAAGAACCTGGGATGTATTCGTTTTTACATAGAATTACTGAAACACGCCAGTCCCTTGTCGGTGGTAGAAGACAATGTCATACTAGTAGCGTTGCCTTGTGTTTGTGATGTCATTATTTGGTCTTTCATTCGACCGATCCTGAAACACTTCATTAAAATACGAGAGAACTCGTTTCTGAACTCACGCATGCGCAATGCGTATAGCATGGGGTTGACCACCGAGTTGCTGTACAAAAGAATTCGAGCCCAGAACTTTGCTAGTTCGCTTGTCGGCGAAGCTGGGGCACCGAAATGATACAGAATGAGTATAATCCGAGGATAGACGAGGATTATGAACGCTCCAATCACGATCCCGATTGTTTTGGCGGTTTTCTGATCTTGGTGTTGTTCTTTGCGCATGCTTCGGTCGCCAAAAGGGACAGGGATTTCCGGACGTTCTCGGAAAGCTTCGTGAACATTAGGCACAGCGTCGGTTGTTTTTAGGCTGGTTCTGCGGGTTTCTAACGGGTGAACTTTCGATTGGAAATTGATTTGGAACACTCTGACTTTTCGATGCTTTCTTGCCTGATTGGCGATGTGGAAAATACGGAAATAGGCCAGTACGATGACAACAGTCACCAACAGAACAAAAACAATGAACCCGATTAAAAACACATCGTCCGAGAGGCCAGGAATCTTTGGCAAACTGGTGAACACTAGCGCAAAGATCCAGAAAGCTAAAATGACGTAGCATACGCGCTGTGTGGCGAATCGAATGGAAAATCTATACCTCATTGGGTACTTGAGTGCGATACAACGGTCGATGCTGAGAGCAGCGAGGTTACAGATGGAAGCTACGATGTTGATACGGCCAATGAAGCCAGCAACTTCAACAGTCAGTTTGGAGATTTCTCTGCCCGCGTAAAAGGCGAAGTGCTGGGCTGCCCTCATGGGAACCAATATGGTACAAACAAGAACATCAGCTACGGCTAACGAAACGATGAAATAGTTGGTCGCGAACTGGAGTCTTCTGTTTCGAAACACTGCAAAGCAGGTCAAAAAGTTTCCCACTGAGCCAAGAACGCAGATAACAATCTCAACGATCGCCGCCACTAAAACCCTCGTTTCTGATCCAAAAACAGAGTTTGTTCCTTTTCCTAGGACCGTTTGGTTGACACTAAGATTTCCTCTTGTGAGACTCGAATCAGCCATGACCGTTTGAAATGTGCTTTTCTCTTGAAGAAGGTTTCACTCGATATTTAGTCTAATACCTTTGTGAGAGATTTACAAAGTTTGATCTTATATATATGAAACGTAATCGTTATAACGGAAGACTTTGATAGGCTTGAAGGATGCGCATCACTCTAGAGAGTCCCATGACAAGACGTATCTTGACAAAACATGTTTACTTTATCTGACGATAGTGCTTAAGATTCGGTCATAAAATTTAAATTGCTTCCAAACCTTTTTGTGTGTGCCGTCAATTTATCTTCTTATTAAAGCTTGCGTCTTGGTTTTAGCTGTTAATTTATTTGCTCATACCTCAAGATTATTGGGTTCCTAAAATGAATTTAAAAAATGTATGCAATTATTCTTATTTATCTGATGAAGCTGAATGTCAAGGTCCAGAATTAATAAAGACATTAACTAAAAAGAGCAAGAAAAGAAAAAAAACATACTTACCCAGACTCATCCTGACCGCTTTTACAGCTGCCGTAATTTACAGTGAGTCTTATACAAGTCAAAACGGATTAAACGAAGATCGGCTTTCCTATCCTCCTTGTGTTATGAGTTTTTAAGGAGTTTCGTAGTTTTCAAGCTTATTGATTTCTGAAACAATTGAAAAGATAGGAAGTAGTAAATACTTTAAAATACTTGGAAAAAAATAAATGTACCATTATCCTTATTCATTGAAGTAGCTCAATGTCAAAGCCCCACAATTAATAGACATTAGACATACACAGAATAATACGGCTTCTTCAGCTGCTGTAAGTACATTAAGTCTTACAGAAGTCAAGAAGGCTAAACCAACTCCGAGTCGCCAAGATGTTTTTATTATTGTAACTATAAAATTAATGAGTACGAAGTAATTTTCTTCACAGCGCAACGACTTCAGTCGGAACCACCTTGAGAACCCGAGCCAATCAAACTACGAAAACAAAACCGAATTTCGAATAAAACTTGTCCCAATCTAAATTCTAGTTTTCCCTTGTTCGTAAACCACCTTGGAAATTATAAGGTATACTTAGTTTCAGGCGATTATCTACGGATTACCGCCATGACAGCGAATCTAGTTTTTTTTTTTTTTTTGTACACTGCATAACCGCTGGTGGGAATATTAACTTCTGGTCGATTTAGTAGTGTTATAACAAGAACGAGATCCTTTTTTAAGTACCTACATAATATTCTGTCAGCTGTCAGACACACTTATACATTATACACCTACGCAGCTCAGACTAGTTTACTCGCAAGATCTCATTTTATTTCACGGTGTTCAGCTTACCTATAACCCATCATGTTATATGCATTATACACCGACGCAGCTCCAACTAGTTTACTGACTCTTTTTATTTCACGGTGTTCAGCTTACCTATAACCCATCATATTATATGCATTATACACCGACGCAGCTCCAACTAGTTTACTCGCTAGTTCTCTTTTTATTTCACGGTGTTCAGCTTACCTATAACCCATCATATGATATGCATTATACACCGACGCAGCTCAAACTAGTTTGATCGCTTGTTTCTCATTTTATTCCACGGTGTTCAGCTTACCTATGATGCACTACTGCACCGACTCATTGTTTAGAGCAACTATAAGAATTTATTTAAAAAAAGGAATAAAGGAAGCCAAAGATCTGCTTTTCAATGGAATTAGGTAACGGATTCTCGAAGATTCTCCTCACTCCATGAAAATTATCATGCGAGTAAATATTCTTTCAATATTTTCTTAAATTATCTATTGAGCCAACAAGATACGACGAAAACGTTTGAATGTAAGCAAATATACTTTTAAAATGTCAAATAGGAATAGCTAACGAGGTGGAAAAATAAAGACAGGGGGAAAATGGAAGGTTTATCAAAAGAATTAAATTCTAAAAGGGGGGGGGGGGGAGTGATTGAAAAGGAAGAAGGAAGAATGAAAGGATGGAACGATGGATGAAATAAAAACAAAGAAAAAAAGAAAATAAGGAACGAATCGAAACAAGAAAGGAAGGAAGAAGAAAAAAAGAGGTCCAGATAGAGAGTTAAAAGATAAGAAAAAAAAAACTAGGAATATTAAGGAATGCAAAGTAGAAATTTAAAGAAAAGGAAAAACAATAGCAAAGAAACTGAAAAAAAGAAATTTTCCTAAGCAAACGTAAGAAGCGGAACAAAACGGATAGTGAAAAAACTAAAATAAGCAAAAGCGGTATAGCGCAAATTGACTGATAAGGTTCTAATCCTGCTCGCTTGAGTATAATCTAAACTACTTCGAGTCATTCGTTATGCACGTCTTGTGACAGACGGCCAGACAGATTTTTTTATTTGGAGTTTTGCACTATCGTAAAGTACGTCATTTCAGTCCAAAAATAATAAATGAAATCGATTAAGTAATTGTGTATGTCTTGTGTCTCTTCACCAGAAGCGGTTTTAGAGGGGTGGGGGGGGGGGGGGGCCTTTTAGTTTCAGATGCATGTTTTTCATCTCCCCCTACCCCCTACCCCCTAAAAAAATCAAGAAAAGCATGAAATAGTATTTCTGAAAATGAGCCATATGGTATAAGAAAATGTTCTTGGGAGCATGCCCACGGACTGTGGTTTCGTTTGCATAGTTCATGTCATGAGATTCGTCTAACTCCTTACGCAACCCCCCCTCAGATTCCTGGATCCGCCCCTGTCTGCCTGTTTGCTCAGTTCTGTATAAAAAAAGGAATTAGGAATTCTCTCTCTCTATCACTCTCTATATATATATGTATATATTATTGGCGCCGAGTGTTTGATCAAGGATTCCTTTTTGTCTGCCAATACGAACCATACACTTGTTAGCGGATTGGAAATCCTTTTCGAAGAGGATAGATATGACCAATATGTCGGCGGAAATATTGTCATCCTGTTGTCAATATCAGGGATTTGGGAATATGCACATGCTATGCATGTCACGAACAGCCAAACAAAAAAAAAAAAGCAAAAAGTTTTTTAGAAGAAGAGGAAGAGGAAGAGGAG